ATTCAAGTACTTTTCCCTAGGTTAAGATCCTTTTGTGGTAATGTGTGTGCGTCTTTATATCCAATCTATACTTAGCAAACTTAGACAATTTCTACTCAAGTCCCCTAGTTTTTCTCAAGGCATTTACTTATTCATTAAGCACATTTTCTTTACTCCCTTTTTTTAACTGTTGTTACGAAGGGAGTCAGCTCATCACACCTATTCTCCCACACTCTAGGTGAAAGGGAGCATACCTTCCACCCCCGAGCTAGTTAAGTAGTGTCATCCCGTGACTACTTTCATTCACTCATAAGCACATGGTTTTCATTTATTAAAGAGAGTTCCAAGCAATTCCATGGCACAGAGGAGTGTCCCTCTACAGCTACGCCTAAGCATTTATTCACAGTTTCATATATAAGGGAGTTGTTTTCTATTTTTCTTTTAAGCACAATACCATATTTCAATGCCAAAACTAACTAGAGTTTCTTCATAAGAATTTTCCAAATTTTCTAAGTATAGAGAACATACAAATCGTGTAAAAGTTTTTCACAAAGCATCGAGCCTTAGAGTAAGTTCTATCATTCTCAACAGTCATTTACATTCAGATTCTAGCCTAACAAGATCATCATCATCGGGTATCCTCAAAACATTCTATCTAACTATCCTACCATTTACTGATGTCATGGAATAATACTACGCTAATTCTATCATGCATATGCCCTAGCAAGAACACTACCTCCCCCAAACTTAAGGGAAGCATTGTCCTCAATGCTTAAAGAGAACTAAATATAAACTAAATGACATGCATTGAAATGCAAACTAAATAAAAATGAATGCAAGTGAGGTACCTCAATATTTACGTGGTGGTGTTGCCTTGGAGGTGCTAGCAGCTCCTCGCCTAGTGCACTTGCGAAGGGGTGTTGGACTGGATTCTGAGGAAGTAGAGTAATAATGCGCAATATTCTTACGTCCAGCCATGGTCTTGGTGCGTCGACCACTACGTGGTGTAGGAATGGGACTGGGTGTTTCTTCGACAGGGACAGTGGACGGATATTCAGGGGTGTCAGAATGGTGCTGATCAGGAGTTGGGTCATCAACTGGAGGATCTTCTTCATCTTGTTCGGGCTCTGGAGATGCCTCGGTATTGAATGTCGGCAGAATTTCTTCTGGGAAGCCAGGGAAATTCCGTTGACCGTGGGGAATAATTTCTTAAAACATCGATTCCACTACAGCATCTCTATGTTTCACATACCCAAAGAAATTGTGGATATCATTGTGTAAAGCATGTAGATGAGTCTGAGTCTGTATCACAGCTTCCTCGAGAGCAAGTAACTTTGCCTCGGTATTAGTTCCTGCAGATTGCTCATGAACAGGGTCTTTAGATTTGGGATTTTCAATTCCTAACATCAATGGTAGTCTGGCCCTAGTAATGCCCGATAATCCAGGTAAAATTTCATCAAAAGCATTTTCCTCGACTTTTTTCTTACGACACAAAGCAGTAATTAAGTTAGGAAACACCAAGCACTTGCCTTTTTACGCAAACAGTCGTTAACTTACTGAACAATAATGCGACCAACATCAATATGACGGGATACAATTATCGAAATAAGAGCAGTAAGCGTGAAAGTGATACCATCGTATTGTGAGAAGTAAACATGAGTTTGTGCTTAAGGAAGTGATTCCATAACTTAGCGCGCGGCTGAAGACGCTCTCTGTTGACCGAGTATCTACTTGTTTGGCGCCCATTCCACTCAGTGTTTTCGAAGCATAAGTCCTCAAGGATTTCATCGTAGGTGGTGCTATCGGCTTCATCCTCGAATTGGGCATGTCGGTCCACCACATCCTGCAAATGATAATATCGATTAATCGTAATGGGTGTAAAACGAATTTGTTTACCTCACACGAAAATGGCATGTAGGTTTGGCTTGGAAATATTTGCATAAAATTTCTTAACCAACGAGGCATTAATTGAACCCGGATGGTGTGCGAACTTCTTCCACTTGAGTGGCATAACAATGTCCATTACTTCGGGTCCCAAGCCACCATCGATCTCCTTGGTAAAAATAAAACCTAACTCAAAGAAGAGTTTTTAGTTCTTGAAGTTTTGGAACCGAGCCTTAGCCTCCTCGTTCTCAAACTGTTGGAACTTGGAACTTTCGGGTGCAGTCGGTCTTGTGCGTACCATTTTCAACAGTTGTAAAGTAAGAAAAATGGAAAAGGAAATAGCTTTCAAAAGCAATGTAGAGTTTCGGCTATGGAGAGAAGAGTGAAGAATATGAAGAATATGAGAGATAAAAAGTAAAAGTTAAAAATGAAATAGAAAAGTTAAGGAAGAAAGAGAAAAGAAAAAGTTAAAAGTTTAAGAGGGAAAAGGGGTGATAGGATGGTTAAGAGAGAAATTAGTGGGTGGGGGTTATGCGTGTATGGGGAAGGAAAAACTGCCGAAAGAAATGATGATGATGGGACAAAACTGTAGAGAGAGAAAAGAAATGTAAGAAATAAAATAAATTAAAAAGAAACAAAATCAAAGAATATCTCTCCTATTAATGCCTTGTCATTTCCTCCATTTGGGTAACCGCTCCCTGCACGTTTGTAGTAATGTGGTCCCTACGAATCATATCAAAAATTAATTACAAAATAAAATAAAATAAAATGAAAGAAAAGCTTAAATTTTGAATTTTATTTATGCACAGACACAAATTCAATGTCGTGGCATCGAATTTTGGTTCTCCTCTTAGCACGCTTCAGCATCGTGTAGACATAACCCGTCCTTGTTGTGCGGTAGTGGAACACCATTGTAGGCTTTCAGATGCTGGACGTTGACCTTGAAGATTGTCCCATTGTCTATTCTCTTGATGTCAACAGCTCTATGAGGGTAAACATAATGCACCTCAAATGGCCCTGACCATCGAGATTTGAGCTTCCCAGGAAAGAGTTTAAGTCTAGAGTTATAGAATAAGACTTGTTGCCCAACATGAAAATGTCGTGGCATCAGTTTCTGGTCATGCCACTTCTTGGATTTCTCCTTGTAGATCCGATCATTCTCATATGCTTGTGCTATAAACTCTTCCATTTCATTAAGTTCTAGTAATCTTTGTTCCCCAGCTAGTTGAGCATCAAAATTCAATCGCTTGATGGCCCAATATGCCTTATGCTCGAGTTCAACCGAGAGATGACAAGCTTTACCATACACTAGCTTGATTGGTGACATTCCCAAAGGAATTTTGAACATTTTTCTGTATGCCCAAAGTGCTTCATCCAACTTTGGCGCCAATCCTTACGCCTTGGGTTCACCACTTTCTCTAAAATCTACTTGATCTCTCGATTGGATAACTCTGATTGGCCATTTGTCTACGGATGATATGTCGTGGCAATCTTGTGTCGAACTCCATATCTCTTCAATGCCTTGGCAATCAACTTGTTATCAAATTGGGTTCCTTCGTCACTAATAATAGCACGAGGTACTCCAAACCGAGTGAAGATACTTGTGAAAAAACTTGAGTACGGTCTTAGAGTTATTCTTGATGTCGCTATTGCTTCCACCCACTTTGACACATAATCCACAGCAAGCAAGATATATAATTTTCCTTCAGAAGATGGGAATGGTTCCATAAAATCGATGCCCCACACATCAAACAACTCTATCTCCAAGATATTTTGTAGCGGCATCTCATGTCATCTGGAGATGTTTCCAGTCGTTGGCATCGATTACAAGCTTTGTAAAATGATTGGGCATCTTTAAACAGAGTTGGCCAGTAAAAGCCTGATTGCAGGACCTTAGCAGCAATCCTTTCTCCACCAAAATGACCTCTACTTGGGGCCAAATGACAATGGTACAAAATGTTGCGCTGTTCCTCTTCAGGTACACATCGTCTAATGATCTGATCGACACAATGCTTGAACAAATATGGCTCATCCCAAAAATAGTGCCTTGCATCGTGCTTGAACTTCTTTTTAGCCTGACTATCTAAATCAAAATGCAGAATTCCACTAACAAGAAAATTAACAAGGTCAGCGTACCACGGAATTGCCGCGACATATAAAAGTTTCTCATCAGGAAATTCCTCTTGGATATCTATAGTGTCATGGCATTCAGAATTGTTCTCTAGCCTAGATAAGTGATCAGTAACTTTATTTTCAGTTGCTTTTCTATCTACCACCTCTAAGTCAAATTCTTGCAAAAGTAAGATCCACCTAATAAGTCTAGGCTTGGAATCCTTTTTGTTCACTAAGTATTTTATAGCAGAATGATCAGTGTGAACAATAACTCTTGTGCCTATTAGGTAAGGTCTAAATTTATCAAAAGCAAATACCACAACAAGTAATTCTTTCTCAGTGGTGGTGTAGTTCAATTATGCTTCATTTAAAGTGTGACTAGAGTAATAAATAACATGAAAAATTTTACCTCGGCGTTGCCCCAAAACAGCTCCTACGGCATAGTCGCTTGCATCACACATCAGCTCAAATGGTGATGTCCAATCGGGAGGAACTACAATGGGTGTCGAGATCAATTGTTGTTTCAGCTCAGTAAATGCGCCGAGGCATAACTCGTCAAACACAAAGGGTTGTTTTATTGAAGCAATGTGCACAAGGGCTTAGAAATCTTGGAGAAGTCTTTGATAAACCTTCTATAGAATCCAGCATGTCCAAGAAAACTTTTTATTCCCTTGACCGAAGTTGGTGGTGGCAACTTTTCAATCACTTTAATCTTTGCCTTGTCCACCTTAATACCCTTATATGAAATTTGGTGGCTAATACAATGCCTTCAGTCACCATGAAATGACATTTCTCCCAATTTAAGACAAACTCAGCCTCTTCGCATCTTTTGAGAACTTTTGCTAGATTGTCGAGGCATCGTTCAAAATCGTCCCTACAAACAGAAAAGTTGTCCATGAAGATCTCCAGAAAATCCTCAACCATGTCTAAAAATATAGCTTGCATACAGCGTTGAAATGTTACCGGGGCATTACAGAGCCCAAAAGGCATCCTCCTAAAGGAAAAAGTGCCATAGGGACAAGTGAATGTAGTCTTTTCTTGGTCCTCTGGTGCGATGGCAATTTGATTGTACCCGAGTACCCATCCAAAAAGCAATAGAATGCTTTGCCGGCCAACCGATCCAACATTTGGTCGATGAAAGGTAGAGGAAAATGGTCATTCTTTGTAGCTTTGTTGAGCTTTCTATAGTCCATGCATATCCTCCATCCGGTAACAGTGCGAGTGGGTAATAGCTCATTATTCTAATTAGTAACCACAGTCGTGCCTCCTTTCTTTGGAACATACTGGATAGGGCTCACCCATGAGCTATTAGAGATAGGGTAAATCACTCCAGCATCAAGCCATTTCAGAATTTCTTTCATCACCACTTGCTTCATAACAGGGTTGAGTCTTCGTTGTGGTTCAATTGAATTGTCGTGGCAATCTTCAAGCAGAATCTTATGTATGCAGATCGTGGGACTAATGCCTTTCAAGTCGGCCATAGTCCAACCAATTGCTTTTTTATGCTGCATCAAAACACTTAACAAACTTTGCTCTTGATTAGCAGTAAGGTTAGCGGAAATAATCATCGGTAAAGTCTCATCGCTCCTTAAGTAAACATATTTAAGATGCCCTAGCAAAGTCTTAAGCTCTAAAGTTGGTGCATGCAATAATGAAGGCTTAGAGGAATAAATTCATCAAAATTCAGAGGATCAAAATTCATACCTGATCTAACTTGTAGTAAGCTAGATTGCTCCTCCAAAATTGGAAAGTCGTCGGACTCCACTAAGCTTTCATTATCCACCAAATATTCCTTTTCTGCTAGCTGAATGAAATTGTTATGGCAAAGATGTTCAGTTTCTTCTTCAATCACTGAGTTCAATTCAGAAATGCCTTGGCATTATTCATTGTCATCAACATATTTGAGCATTCGAAACACATTGACAGTCACACACTGATCAGCCACTCTCATGGTGAGTTAACCTTTTTCACAGTCTATCAATATACGTCCAGTGGCTAGGAAAGGTCTTCCCAGAATAATCGGTGCCTTGGCATCAACTTCGCAGTCCAGAATTAAGAACTCGACTCTCCCTTCAGGTTTAACATGAGATCTATCGGCAAGTTGTAAAATAACCGAGGTGGGTCTTGTATCTCCTATGCCAAGCTTCAAGAATATCGATTTCGGCATTAAGTTGACACTTAAGCCAAGATCACATAGTGTCTTTCCAAAAAAATTAGCTCCAATAGAACAAGGAATTATGAAGCTGCCCGGATCATTTTGTTTTGGCGGCAACTTACTCAATGAAGAACAAAATTCTGTTATCGTGACAACAGTCTCTACTTTCCTCTTCTTGGTACAGATTTCCTTTAGAAATTTGGCATACATCGGCATCTGTTCAATAGCTTCCAAGAAAGGTGCATTGATATGGAGCTGATCAAGAATGTCCACGAGCTTCTTGAACTAAACTTCATCATTATGCTTCTTCAATCTTTGCGGGAAGGGTGGTGGAGGTCTCGCTTCCTTAACTGCAGTAGTAGGAATTGCTTTTGCCTTGGCATCAGAATCTGGTGCCTTAGTAAAATCCTCCTCCTTGTCATTCTCAGAAATACTATCATCATGTAATTCAGCTTCACCATTGTCATTAGTGGGATTAGATTCATCATGTTGTGCCCCACTAGCTTTAACTTGTTGATTGATTTGTGTTCCACTCCTAAGAGTTAACACATTGCAATGCTCCTTTCCATGCCATTTAGTAACTTCAGTATCACTTGGCAATCGTCCTTGCTGACGCTCTTACAATGCCGTAGCAATCTGACCAACTTGACCTTCCAAAGCTCTCAAAGACGAGCTATGGCTTTGAAGTAAGGCGTATTGACTATGAAGTAAAGCTCCTTGATTCTTAATTGAAGTAGAATGGTCTTGCAGTATTTTCTTCGTAGTAGATATGAATTCTTGAATTGTAGCTTCCAAGGAACTCATACTTGCTGACATTGAAGCTCCTTTGTTAGTATTATGCCATGGCATAGAATTCTGGTAACTTTGAGGCTTATTGTGATTCTGCTATCGAGTAGAGTGATTAGCATTGTGGGCTCCTTGATTTCCCCATGAGAAATTGGGGTACTGACGCCATCCAGCATTATAAGTGTTAGAGTAAGGATTGTTGCTGCCTCGATTGTAATTGCCTACAAAGTTGATGGACTCGTGAATGCTCGGGCATTCACTCTCATGATGATTGCCTTGGCATAACAGACATGCCAAGCTAGTTTCTTTCACTTCCTTTACCTCAGTAGAGCGTTGTAAGTTTTTCAGCATATTGGTGATAGTTGAGAGTTGAGCAGACACCGAATCCTTGGTATCTAACTCAAATGCACCAGGTGCTCTCCTCTCACTCCCAAGTCTTGAGGAAGGAGACTGATAATCATTGTTATCAATTCTATCCAAGATAGCAAACGCCTCAGTAGGTGATTTATCCAGCAATTTCCCATTTGTCGAGTCATCATGTAACATCATCGTGGGTGCATTGACTCCATTATAAAACATGACTACTTGAGTCCAATCGTGAAAACCATGATTTGAACACTTTCGAAGCAAACTCTTGTAACGGTCCCAACACTCATACATGGATTCGTCGTCTCCCTGGCGAAAAGATGATATTTCATTCCTTAGCTGCGTATTCATGTTTGGTGGGTTATACCTCAATAAGAAGCTCTTGCAAAGATCAGTCCATGATTCCATCGAACCGGCCGGTACACCATTCAACCAAGCCCTTGCTCGGTTACGCAATGAATACATGAACAACTTTAACTTCAGAAAATCCTCATGTACTCCCTCTTGGCGAAAAGAATCACAAACTTCCAGAAAATTTCGAATGTGCTGCCTGGCATCTTCATTTGGCATACCCCCAAACTGCCCAATAGAATTCTACATGTTGAACATGGCTGGTTTCAGCTCGAAATGTGCAGCTTGAATTTTGGGTGCCACAATCCCAGGATTCAGATCATCCAGCATCAGATTTAAGTGATCACGAATAACACGCGGCCTAACAGTAGGATCAACATTGTCTAATGTCGCGACATTCTGTTTTCCGTCATCATGACCAATACCTTGGTTTCCAATCTGATACATGTTTCCTCTAGCGCGTTGTGCTCGTCTGTTTTGTCTAAAGAGTCTTTCAATTTCAGGTTCTATTGGTTCTAAAGGCTCTTCAGAATTTCTTCTAGGCATACACTAAATAAACCTGAAAAATAAAATAAAAATATAAAGTAAACAATACAAAAAAATACAAAACAAAATAAAATGCTCTGGCAAAACTAAATAACTTCAGGCTGCCAATCCCCGGCAACGGCGCCAAAAACTTGTTGCATGTGTGTGAGTACTATAAAATATACGCAAATAATGTGCAAGTATACACAATCGCTCAAGTAATATAATGATGAGTGAGTATCGTCTCCACAGGATTGGGTGAAATTACAAAAGTCTGACCAAAGTTAAGTATTAATCTATCTATGTATAGTTAGTCTTTATATATACAAATGTCACGGCAAATGAAAATATAAGAAGGTGAATGCAGATGAATGGTCTGATGGTGTAGCAGATGGAAATGCAGTGGCAAGATAAGATGTTTAGTGTTAAAAATGGTGAAATGTCGAGGCAATGAAAAATGGTAAATAACAGTAAACAAACAGCAAATAAAATGAAAAGAATATAATCCTCACGTGACAAGCTTCCAATGGAATGAATGATAGTGATTGATTTAAGGATGCTAAACTTATCTCTCAGACATATTTAAGCTATCTAATCTTTACTTGCTCGACAGGGCTTTCCTAAAATGTTCTCATAGGAACCTAACAGAATAAGATGCCAAGGCATCTGCTCTCACTCAACGATGTTAGCCAACCTACCCTATTGATAAATACACCCTTTTTAGTCGTTGAAATCCTATCCTAGTCTCTCCCGAGATCTAAGGGATTAGATTATAATATTCCTAGGCCGGTTCAAAGCCCCTTGAAAATACTATAACCCATTACTTATGAGGATCTTGTCTTGCGATTCTCTCGAATACTTACAAGTATTTTTAGCTTAGGTTTCTCCCGAATACCTAAACTTCATCTAAGAGACGGACATTTCCATGCCTCTTACAAGCCTAGATAGTGAAGCATTCATAAGAAAAGCAAATAAAGAACCAAAATAAACTTAAATATACCATTAAAATAAAGTCTAAATATCCATTAAACCAACCACCACCAAATAAGTTAGTTTATGGTGGGGTTCGAAATTTCCAAACACAAAGTCATGCAAATATTTATTCTAACAACCCACAAATAAATAGAAAAATAGTAGCAAAAGGGTAGTAAGAAGAAACCTTCACGCGTCACCGGAGGTCTCCTCGGCCACCACGAACCACCTTAGCTCGCTAGCTCCTCTCGGCACCTAGCTCGCCACTCCTTGAAGCTTAATCAATGGAGGAAAACCCAAGGAAGAAGAAGGGAAAATAAAAATGGAATTTTTCTACTCTATGCGTGTTCCTCTTCACGTGTTCCTCCTCCTCTCCCTTGAACTGTAATATATATAATAAAAATATCTAGGGGTAATGATGAGGTTGTTGGGTGCAAAAAACCCCTCATACCTCTAGAATCACATGTAGTGCGTGAATCTTATCCTCCAGGTGGTAGTGGTCCCATAGCAGCTCTGGAAGGCGGTTACAATAATCATTTCACGTGCAGAGCCAGCTGTCCTCGTACAGCTGTATCTTTTTGTTGTTTTCTGTGCCAGAAATGCCAAGGTATTTCAATTTGCTTCAGCAACGTGTGATGATGCGGCATTACTTCCCATCTAGTCCTTTTTGCTTGCTATTCCCTGCACACCACAGACAAACACATTTCCTTCATGCAGCATCATTAAGAAATAAATAACACTACCACCATAAATGCAACTATATGCAACTACATAATCCTAAAATGCCTAAAATGAGCTTTTAAACAAACAATAACTTAAGTGAAAAAGGCCTTAAAAGTAGTATTTTTAGGAAGTTAACAACCAGCGCTTTGAAGTTTTTGAAAGTTGAAAACACGTCTGACTTCTTCTTAATAGGGTACACCCAACATCTCCTGGAGTAGTCATCAATAAATGAGACAAAGTATTTTGCTCCACCTAGGGATGTAAATGGTGCTTGCCATACGTCAGAGTGAACCAATTCTAGAACACTTTTGGCTCTAAAATTTGATGTGTTGAATTTCAACCGGTGCTGCTTACTTGTTATGCAATGCTCACACAAAGTAAGTGATACATTTGTTAAGCCTGGAAGTAGCTTTTGCTCCACAAGGACTTTCATTTCTTTTTCTGACATGTGTCAAAGTTTCTGATGCCATAGCATTGTCGAATATGAACTACATGATGCAACAGAGGCTTCTGCTTCTACCAAAGTCTCTCCCTTCAGCATGTACAAGTTTGCAGGTATCTTTTCGCCTTTCAGCACCACAAGCGCTCCACGAAACACCTTCATGATTCCATTATGTGTTTCAATCTTGCTCGCATTATTATCCAATAATCCATAGGATAATAAATTTTTCTTCAAGCCTTTCACGTGTTGCACATCTCGAATAAATTTAATTGTTCCATCATACATCTTCAATTTGATGGTTCCCACACCAACGATCTCTGACGCATGATCATTGCAACTATACACAGATCCTCCTAAGACAAGTTCATAATGATGGAACCATTCTCTTCTTGAGGTCATGTGATATGTTGCTCCCGAATCAATGAGCCATATATTTGCATATCTCTTTCTACCTTCCACGGTGGTTGACGCTTCACAGCATAGAGCATCTCCATCATCTGAAGAGTTTGCGGTATTGCCTTGTTGATTGGAATTTTTATTTAGACTCTAACAATCCTTCTACAAGTGACCCTTCTTTCCACAGTTGTAACACTTTAAATTCTTCTTGCTTCTTGACTTCGATCTACCATGTTTGTGACTGCTGCTTTGGCCACGTTCCGTTGATCTCCCTCTCATCGTTGTCAACGCTTCTGTTTGTTGCATATTTACTTGTCTGTCTTCCTTGCTTTTACGCCGATTTTCTTCTGGTAGAACAGCAGCTGTAACGTCATCAAAGACTAGACTAGTGACATTTATGTTTGTCAAGTTGATGATGAGTTGATCAGATGAATCCAGTAGACTTTGAAGTAGAAGTTCAACACATTATTGTTCTCCTATTGTACATCTTAAAGATGTAAGCTGAGAAAATAAAGTGTTCAGTGTGTTTAAGAGCTTCGACACTGAAGTAGATTCTGGCATACGGAGAGTGTACAATTTCCTCTTAATGAAAATTTTATTGTGCAGCGATGTAGCCTCGTACAATTTGATGAGATGATCCCATATCTCCTTAGCTGTCTTCTTCTCCTCGATGCTTGACAATATTTCATCTGCTAATGCTAGATGAAAGTTTTTCATAGCATTCCCATCCATTTCGATCCATTTGTTGTCATCTGTGAAATCCATTGGCCTTTCACTAATAGCTGCTAGACAACCGTCTTTCCTCATGATAGCCTTCATCTTCAATTTCCACAATGAGAAATTTCTCCCATTGAATTTTTTAATATCAAATTTCATTGCCATAGCTTTTTTTTACGGATAGATCCCACTATTTCACTATCGTGAATAGTTCTCTGGAACCTTCAAAGAATTGATAATACCTTCTTATTTTCTTATGTTGGAGGATCCACCTTTTGGTGGCAACCACAAAGACAATAAACATATATTACACCCTCAAATCTGGCTCAGAAACCAATTGTTCTGGAAGACGGCTATCGGATAGAGTAAAATCACAACTGATAATTTGAGAAAATAAAAATGAAGATAAAGAAGACACAAAATTCACGTGTGAAACCCCTAAATAATATAGGGTAAAAACCACGGGCAACAATAGAAGAATTTCACTATGAGAAAATAGGGATTACAACTTCTCTCGATCTACCAAGGAGAAAACAATGATAATTCTCTCTTGATAAAAAGGAGAAAACAACTCTCAAGAAACTCTCTAAATTCTCTAGTATTGGAAGAAAGCTAGAATACTTTGGAATGGTTTTGAAGCTAAATGAGCTAGGGTATTTATAGTTGAAGCTTAAAGACTAATTTTTAAATATCCTAAATTACAATGACCAAATGTGATTATCCCATTATCCAAAATTCAACTAAAATTGTTGTCATTTGCACCACTTGCACCGAAATTAAGTGCTGCCAAAATCCCACCGAAAAGTGGTTGGCCACTTGTTTAATTTTCAACAATCTCTCACTTGAAGATTTGATTGAAACAATCATATCTTCACATCATTCTTTCTATCTTGTACCATCATGTTGCTTACGTTTCTGACAAGCCACAAGAGGATCGACACCAAGTAAATTTATCAGTGTTGATCGCATTCGTCATGAAATCTGCTATGTTGTCTTTGGTATGGATCTTCTGCATATCTATCGTTCCTTCTTCCACCTTTTCACGAATGAAGTGGTACTGAACTCGTATATGTTTGTTTTTTAATGAAATGTTAGATTCCTTGCTAAATGCAAGGCGCTTTGACTGTCACAAAACAGAGAGACATACTCTTGATTGTGCCCAAGCTCCTCCAATAGCATCTTCAACCAAATTGCTTCTTTACTGGCTTGTGTAGCTTCTACATATTTTGCCTCTGTTGTGGATGTAGCCACAATTGACTGTAATTTTGAAACCCAACTTACAGCTCCACTAGAAATTTTGAACACATATCCTGTAGTATATTTGCTTTTATCCAAATCCCCTGCATAGTCAGAATCTACATACTCATTGATTAGTATGTTTGATCCTCCGTAAGATAATGCAACATTTTAGGTCCCTTTGATGTATCTCAGGATCCTCTTTACTGTATTCCAATGCTCTTTGTCTGGATTCACCATGTATCGACTAACCACTCCCACTACTTGTGCAATGTCTGGTCTTGTGCATATCATAGCGAACATTAAACTTCCCACTGCCGATACATACGGTACTCGAGACATCTCCATCCTCTCTTCTTCACTGTTAGGAGTCATACTGGAGGATAATTTGAAGTTAATAGGAAGAGGGGTAGAAATTGGCTTACAATCTTGCATGTTGAATCGTGACAAGATCTTCTTCAAGTAATTATTTTGTGAAAGCCAAATCTTCTTATTACTTCTATCTCAGTGAATTTGCATCCCTAGAATCTTGTTTGCTGATCCCAAGTCCTTCATTTCAAATTCCCTAGCCAGTTGTGCCTTCAATTCTTCAATATGATCTTTGTTGGTTCCTGTAACCAACATGTCATCCACATACAACAGCAATATAACAAAATCGTTATCACCAGACCTCTTGAAATAAGCACAAGGTCTTTATTAAGTGTGTTGTATCCAAGGTACATAATGAAGGAATCAAATCTCTTATACCAACATATTTCCGCCTGCTTTAGACCGTACAGAGATTTATTCAACCTGCAAACCAAGTTCTTCTTTTTGCCTTCTTCAAAACCTTCAGGCTGGAGCATATAAATCTCTTCTTCAAGATTTTCATGAAGAAAAGCTGTTTTAATATCTAGCTTCTCTAGATGTAAGTTCAATGTAGCACACATTGCCAAGACTACTCGAATTGTTGTTAATCAAACCACAAGAAAAAAATATTTCATTAAAATCAATACCTTCTTTTTGAGCATATCCTTTGACCACCAGTCTTGCACGATACCTCTCCACTTGATCGTCACCATTTTGCTTGGTTTTGAAGACCCATTTGTTACGAATTGCCTTCCTTCCTTGTGGTAGTGGCACAAGGTCTCTTGTATTATTTTTATGAAGGGCTTCAATTTCTTCTTGCATCGCTATCATCCACAATGAAGCATCTGAGCTGTTTATTGCCTCCTGGTATATTGATGGCTCACCGTCCTTTGTTAAAAGGCAGTATGCAATATTTCCTTCTATAACATAATCTGAGTGCCAATTGGGACGTCTTCTCACACAATCTGATTGACGAGTTGTTGGAGCTTCATA